TATTTTATGTAAAACATATAGAACAAAGGGCCTAGGCACACACTCCTAAGCTTTACCAGCTTGGCGGAGGCTATGCCATCAAGTAACACAACGGCAAGAGACCCTACGCATGAAGGACTCATTGTTAAGCAAGGCCACAATGAATCTCTCCTTGGAAGGCAAGGCCCCGAGGAGACTTCTCATGGGAGGGCCCCGTGGTTCCTGTATTTTTCCTTTTATGAATAGTTTATTTTTGATTGTTCTTGATTTTATTATATAAGTTTTTAGTAGAATTTTTCAATGATCATATTAAAGGTTAAAAATTACATTTAGACACATTCACACCATATTCAATCATGTGTAGTCCTAAAGAATGCTTTTTACATTAACAATAAGTTTCACCACTAGGAAAAACCACGCCAGCTAAAGTTTTGCCAATTCAAGTTTAAGATTACAGTCAACATTCTGTTCGACATTCTGTGTAGTTTCGGTCAGGGATATTAAGACCCCTGGAAAGTAGTTTAGACACAATCAAGAGCTGAGGGAACAGTAATAGATCATAGGTAAAAATTTAACTAGATGTTTTGAATAGAGAAGTTGTTAGTATAAGGAAGTTGTTCCATTTCTTCTTAACTACAAAACTTTAAGTGCTTTTTTATGTTCTTGTTTTTCTTGTTTAATCAATCATGAGAAACAACTGTGTTGTCAGTTGTGATAGAAAATTATGTTTAGGTACATGTTATGATTAATGAATCTATAGAAAATCATAGGTGAGGGTAGAAATAAGAGTTAAGATTTAGAATTATGTTTTAAGGTTAACCTGACATTTTAGGATGTCAGAAAGATTAGGGAAGGTATTTTAACAAGATCCTTTACGTATCAATGAAAAAGAATACTTGATGGATGAAAAGAACTAGATATGAAAAGACCAAGGAAACTGTTTCAAGAAAAGTACCTTTGTCAACATTGTATAGACACAAAGTAAAAATGATATAATCAAGGATGCGTAATGCTTCAAAGAAATTGATAGTGTATGAGATCATTGTACACTATGAGATTTTAACGGTATATAAAGAGCTGAAAAAATTAAGTAAAAAAGCTTCAATCAGAATTCAGCACAAACCATCGACTCCGTGTGATTTCTTTCACCAACTCCGCATCTCCCTTAGTGAACCCCTAATAAGTTTGTCGGGGCTGGTCCCCGACACCAGCTGAAGTTGACTAAGGTGGTTTGGCTATAAAATGGTTTTGTTTTGAACATGCATGAAATACCAGGTGCCACTGTACCAGAACTGACACATCAGCTATCCAACCCATGCCTTACAAAAACCAACCTGGATAAATAGCAAAGGCCCAGAGAACTGCAATTCACATAGGATAACACAGCTAATAAGAGACTCATGCATGAACTTGAACGTCTCAGTCAGGACTCAGGACCCTTCGTCTGTTCACCATCGCCTCCTCCATCACATTGAGGCTTGTGAAGATTCTGAGTATTGGGAAAATGCTTTTCATATTCTGTGTCCTGTAGTTTCCTATAGACATAGACCACCAGATCCGGAAACGTCTTCTGTAAATACCAGGAAGGATTTCCAATGATCTGCTTTAGACTGAAATGAAACATAAATGATTTGCCATGTTTGACTTAAAATCCTCTCCTCTGCTTCATTCCCCTCACAGCATATAGCCCCAGAGATCTTCAACACCAGAAAGAATAAGGACTTCAGAATCTGGCAGAGTGATACTTGAATCCTGACACTACAATGAATCATGCAAATTTGGCAACTTAATCTTTCTCAACCTCAGTTTTATCATGCACAAAATAGAGATACACAATTTCACAACTCTTTATCTATGATTCCAAAGCAACCCTGAAAAAGAAAATGACTCTGGAAACTGAAAAGATTTTCTATGTATGTTCTAATATTTTTTCTTCAACGAATTGAAGTTTATTTTCTCAACAGTTTAGAAGGGTAGAAGTCTGAATTCAGGGTAGCAGCTCTAGGGAAAAGTTTCCCTTCTTCTAGAAGATCTTTGTGTCTTTAGTGTTTCTGTCCTGCAGAATTCTTCATGGGGCTTGGCATCTCTCTTCCCCCATCTCTGCTAGCTTGCTTGTTCAATCTCTTTCATATCTCAAAAGAGATTGCCTTAAAACACACTATACTAATACTGTCTCATTAACATAGCAAAGAAAACCCATTCCCTATTATAACTATAAATTAAGATTTACAACATATATTTTAGGGAATACAATTCAATCCATGACAAAGTCCTTTACTCTTTCAAAGGCCTTCTATGTTGAATCATTTTGAAGAGCATTCATAACCACCTTCTAATATATCTTCAGAGACCTGGTGTGGTGTTATAGGATAAGCACTGAACTGATAACCACAAGGTCAGCCATTCAAACCTCCCAGTCGCTCTTCAGAACCTATACAATGTTGCTATGAGTCAGAATTGACTCAAGGGCACTTAACAACAATGTATCTTCAGGTCCCTGTTTACTAACCAAACCCACCCAACAGTGCTGTGAAAGAAAGGCTTGGTGATCTGCTTCTGTAAATATTACAGCCACGAAAATCCTAGGGCACTCACTTCTACTCTGTAACACGGGGTTTCCATGCATCACAATCAACTCAATGGCAACAGGTTTGGTTTTTGTGGCATAGATTTTCAGGTGTCCTTGGGTGGTACAAACAGTTAATGCACTTAACCGTTAACTGAATGCTAGGAGGTTTGAGTCTGCTCAGAAGCAACTTAGAAGAAAGGCCTGGTAATCTACTTGTAAAAACTCTGTTGTTATTAAGTGCTGTAGAGTCAGGTCCGACTATAGAGACCCTGCATAGGGTTTCCAAGGAGCAGCTGGTGAGCTTATGGTTCAAACTGACCTTGCAGTCTAGTGTTTATCCTACAGATCTACACTAGGGCATTTAGGACAGAAAAGTTGACTTAACTAACATGAGGCTATTTTAACACTTTTGTGTGGTGCTGTGGGTTAATGCACCAGACTGCAAAACCATTTGAACTGCAAGGTCAGTGGTTCAAGCTCACCAGCTGCTCCTTGAAAACCCTATACAGGGTCACTATGGGTTGGAACCGACTCCATGTCATGCATCTACCACCAACTACCACGTTCACTTTACCCAGCTGCCCAATTCCCCTTGCTTCCTCACAAAGGAAATCATGAACCTGTTGTTCAAGGAACTCCGTAAAAGCTGAAAAGAAAGACTTGCCGATTCTGCCTGCTCGTCACTAATAGTGAGGCTCCGGTGATAGTCAAAGGGAGCAATTACTTTTCTCTCACCGAAATACATATTTTATCTTCCATCAAACAGCAGGCACAGATTTAGAATTGGATTTTTAAATGGTTCTCACTTCATACATGACCTCCAGGAATGAAACCAATACTTACTCCTTATTCTGTTTTTCATCAATATGTTCTCCTAGATTCCGGATGAACCTTAGTAGATCACCCACAGTATTTTGATAGGGATTGCTTCCTTTTCTTTTGTTTTTTGTTTTCCTCTTCTTTTGTTTCTTTTCATAGAAGCTATTCATTTTTCTCATAACAACTTCATGAATCTAAAAAACAAAAACAATGGGGTAGCGATACAAACTAATTATTGAGGAAATGCTAATAGGAATACCAATCGGAATATGTGGCAGAATTGCTACTAATTCACAAAGCAAATTGATAGAAAAGAATGGAAGAAAATACTGTTTACCAAAAACTAACTGTGGATTTGGAATTTTAAGTAACACTTTAAATAAAATTTTGTCATTATTTTCAAAATGAATTGCTTTGATATGAATATGCTAAATGCTCACCATCCAATGTAATCCAGTTGCCTTTGAGTCAACTACAACTCATGGCAACTTCATGTATGCAGAGCAGAACTGTTCCATTCCATAAGGTTTTCAGGAGTCCTCCGGTGGCACTGTAGGATAAACAATGCACTGCTAACTTCAAGGTCGACGGTCCAAACCTACCAGCCACTCCTCACAAATCCTCTACAGGGTCGCTAAGTGTCAGTACCAACTCGATGGCAATTAGCAACAATAATATATGGTTTTCAGGACTGAGATCTTGCAGAAGATCTTTCTTCTAAGGCATCTCTAGGTAGGTTCAAACTGCCAACTTTTCAGTTAGTAGTCAAATGCTTAACCAATTGAACTATTGTTGTTGTTGTTGTTAAGTGCCGTTGAGTCGGTTCCGACCCATAGTGACCCTGTACAGGGTTTCTGAGGGTGTAAATCTTTACAGAAGTAGAAAGCCTCATCTTTCTCCCGCGGAGCGGCTGGTAGTTTCGAGCCGCTGACCTTAAGGTTCACAGCCCGATTCGTAACCACTATGCTACAGCATTTTTATTGTGCCCACTGTTCCAAATTCATACTTAATTATATTTCCTCCTTAAAGAGAGTTAACCAGATTGAAACTAGGTCTGGCTGCCATTATTCAAGCGAGTGCTTTGATTTCTATTGTTTGTTTGTTTTGTTTTCAAGTAGTATATTTCCAAAAAGTTTCTTGTCTCTCCTTGCCTCAAGGTCTCCCAGAGCAGCTTCTTTCAGATTAATAACTCATTTGTGTCAGTGTAGAACTGTGCTCCATAGTTGTTGTTTTTTAATGTTTTATTGTGAATTATATGATAGTTTACATGAGAGAACTTTAGTTTTACATTCATTCCATCGTATATCATCTCATTGCCATGGTTCCACTCCCCTCCATGCATCATCAACCACCCAAAGGGTATATCCTAGAAACCCGCCCCCTATACTCCCCCACCCCACCCCACCCCCAGTTTTCGGCCCATAGTCCCTTTCCCTCTCTGGATCCATCCATAGGATTTTTAATGGCTGTTTTTTCAGAAGTAGACCTCCATACCTCTCTTCCAAGGTGCCTCTGGGTAGACTTGAACTTCTAACCTCCAGTTAAAGTCAAAGAGTTTACTTGTACCCCCCAGGGACCCTTTCAGATTAATGCTTCTAACTCTGTGCCCTTGTATTTGGAATGCATTTGTAATAAGAAAATGAGATGCAACAACCATGCAGTCAGAGTGTCACTTAGGGAGAACAACTGGTGCGGAGGCTGCCCAGTGTTCAATGTGGGAACATACTGAGCATGCGTGTGCAGCAGTCACAGGAAGAGATACAGCAGTGCACGATGGAAAACGTGACCTGGTGCAGCCAAAAGTTAATCCTGTGACCATGAGAATGGGTGAGTCACTGAAATCAGCCCAAAAAAAGTCTAAAAAGGAACTTAAAAGTCAGATTGGAAGTCGATCAAAATGCAGTATGAGTCACTGATATTTAGAAGAAAAACAACCGCTGGATCAGAAAATGACAAAGCAGAATTCTCTTCCTAACTCTGCCATATTCTCTGGCTGTCCAGGCTTGAAATGGTCAGGAACTGCCTCTGGGTCTAAATCTCCTCAGCAACTGAATGCGTTAGTGGACCTAATGCCATGCCATCTTAGCACTGTGTAGCGGAGTGGCCTGAGCACATGGCCTCTGTGACCAAACTGCCGAGCTTCTAATCCTGCTGCACACCCCTGCTGACTCTATGCCTTTGGAAAAATTCTGTGCCTCAGTTTACCCATCTACAAAATGGTGACAATTGCCTCAGGGCTGTTATAAGGATTCATTGGTAACATGGTAACAACAGGAGTAAAGTGCTGACTTCGGCAGGCACTTAGTGAGTACTATATAAATATTAGCTATTGCTATCACACTCTGGAGTCCTGGTATGGCTCTGTGGGCTAATGCGCTGGACTGAAAACTTGCTTTGAACCGCCAGGTTGATGGTTCAAGCTCACCAGATGCTCCTAGTAAAACCTATACAAGGTGGGTATGGGTTGGAACTGACTTACTGGCACTTAACAACATCACACTCTGGTTTCAAAATTCTCCATCTTGGCAAGTTTAAGCTTGACAGACATTTGTTTAGTAGAGTCAGAATACATTTATTCATGCTAGAGCTATGACAACAAACAAGACAAGGGATAGCCCTTGGTGTCCTCATGGCTTGGCTCAGCATTTGATAATCTTTGATAATTAATAATAATTTAAGGTCTGACAGTACTGACTAGGTCAAGCTAGTGATTAATTTGGTATTTTTTTCTTTTACTTTGTTAGATGCAACTTTTCTTAGAGGAGTTTGAATAATCATCTCTTCTCAGAAAGAATAGAGGCTTGAAGTAGATCCTGGGACGGGCTTTCCCTTGGCAGAGAGGGGAGCAGGGTACCAGCACAGACCTGGCTCAGGGTACAGCACTCCCTTTGGGATCAACTCTTGTCACAATGATAATAGGGTTATTAGTCAGAACCCCTCAGAGAATGAGACTTGAGGGAAACAGCTCCAGCAAAATAAAAGGACCACAGGCTGGGACGAGGCCCTCCTAAGGGGAGCCCAAATGAGAGTGTATCAGGAGGGTCTGGGGCCTTGATGCGAAAGGAGAGATCGAGTCTCTGAAAAGGGGAACACAAACTCAAAATAGCAAAGAGGGCGGAGGAATATCACTTTCTTCACCCATTGGTTGGGCCAAACCCAAGGTATAAGGCATATTGAACAAACTAACATAAAACACTTAGAGCCACTTGTCAGAAGACGTAAAGACCCTGATACACTGATTCTTATTCCTGGAGTAATTCCCAGACTATAGGAATTTTCATACCTTAGTAGTCCACTCAGCAAAACTCATAGAATGTTCAGATGTACTTGGCTGTAGCAGTTGGAGGATTCTGCTTTCAGTGTCTTGCACTTTGATGTCAGATTCATTCCCCACATCCCGAAGGGTCCTATAGCGGCTAAGGATGACAGCATTATCATGATCTTTCCATGCTTTCAAGCAAAAGAAAGCTGTTCAATTCTTATTTTTAATAAAATCATTAATGAAACAGCCCAATCAAAAAA